GAAGTCTTGAAAATACCACCAACCAGACTACTGAAACAAACTAGAGGAAAAGGATATCAGGCTGACTTGATATACCAATAGACTGGTTATAGTTTTATACAGGCTATTTGGATTGAAAGTTTGGTAAAAAAGTAAAGAAAAATGCAAGTGTATACTAAAGTACTGAAGTTATGCTATAAAGTAGATACTGGGATCTAAGTGAACTTTACAAAGACATAACAGTTTAATGGTTAGCCCTGATCACAAGTGTTGGTTCTGTCATAGCGATATCTAGGTTAGCTATAAAAATGTGTACAGAAGGCTTTGTAGGTTTACCTTGAGGATAAATTAGTCCTAAGGTTGAAACGATGATCTGGGCATCTGGGTATGATCCAGTAAGTTAACATAGGTTACAGATTCAGAGAGTTTAAAGTAAAACATCCAAGCAGGGATGTTAGATACAGCAATTAGTAAGAAACCTTCAAGTAGATTTCTTAAATAGGTAATATAGAAAAGTTATATATATAGTCAATTGTACACTCTTCTGTAGTGTTTATTGAACCACAATATTGATAAGTGATTAATAAAAGTCAAAAGACCAAAGAGGTCACCTTAATACCAAAAAAAAAATTTAATATATAGCATGTTTGCTAAATAATATTGTTAGTAATTAATAATAATATATAACAAAATTTTATTAAATTTTCTTAAACTTTGAATTTAGTTTTCTTTTTTTTTAAAAAAAAAACAAGATCTTGTCTCAATTTATAATATTTTATGTATTCTAAATAATAAAACTATTTTTTTTAAATTTTTTCTTTCTTATTCAAAATATCTTATTTTTAAAAAATAACTTAAAATTATAAACTTCTTTTTCTAGAACTTAATATTCATGATAATTTATATTTATTATACTAGCAACACATTTCATCTAGACTTAATAAAATTCCCAAATATATTATATCACAATTGTTTATTACTCTTAAGGACATTATTACAAGTTACTCTTAAAATACACTTTATATGATCATTATAACTTATCTTCTATAAATTATTTTTACTACTTTACTAATTATTTTATCTTTAATACTAAATCTTGGCTACTCACTATTCTTAATAACTAAATAATTATTAGTAAAGTCAGAAGATATAATATACCTACTGGTCTTACTCTTATCAATTATTTACACTGTTTATTTTAGTTTTAGTTTTCTAATCTTTATCTCATCTCTTTTTCTACTACTATATTATATACTAAATATTATCTTAATTCAAATATAATTACTAATAAATACATTATCTTTATTTCTACTAACCTGACTACTAAACTATTTTGTTATATCAATTCTGATAAAACTCTTAACTTTTATACAAACTTTTTTAATATTACATATTCTGTTGCTCTTTAATATTTTTTATATATTCTATTTTTTTCTTTATTTACAATTAATCTACAATAACTATCTTCTATTGTTAAATCATATTAACTTTTTGATAGTCTTTAGATTATTGCTAACTCAAACTATAATCTATTATTTATTTTATTCTATATTGATAGTTCTGTTATCAATTTTAATATCTCTTAATGCTTTATAAGTATAGGCTAAATTCAAATTGATAACTCTATAACTATTAACTCATTTCAGATACAAGTTAAGCTTTGGCTATAATCTTTCAAAACTGAAATTCTTATTATTCTCTTAGCAATTATTATTGTTTCTAAACACTAGTCTATCTATATATTTACTAATTCATAATCAGTAATCTTCAAGTATTATAATATTTATCAATTAGTATCTATTCTTTCTTATACTTATACTTTATATTTCTCTATTTGGCAAATTCTTATTAACTTTATTAACTTTTATAATATCTAACTTATTTTTTACAAACTTACTATATATTAAGATGACCCATTTAATAAGTTTACTAATTAATTTATTTGTAATCACTAAATATTATCTTATTTAATATTCTTAACTAATAATTTTTATAACTTTAACTATATTTCTTTTATTAATAAATTTTTTATTAAAATTTCTATTTGATGCTCTATTCAAATTATATGCCAAGTCCACATTATTACATTTTGAATATTTCAATATTATTTTCAACAATGATCTATTATTTCATCTGATATTAACTAGAAAGTTATATATTTTTATATTAACAATAATTAAAAAATCTTTAATTTTGCTTACAACTTTTACTCATCTATTCTGAAAACCTTCTAAATTAAAATCTTTATAGATAAACTTTTTGTTTCTTATACTTTTTACAAATATAACTTTTTTTTTTTTTTTGTGTTATTAATGCAACCAAATTAGTTTTTTATTTTATTAAACTATTTGTTTCTTAACTTAAACAATTTATTATTTAATCTCTAACTTTCTTAATAATATTTTAAATACAAATACTTTTGATATGTCTACTAATCTGGTTTCTAATTTATATACTAAAATTCTTATACTTAATAGTTTTAAATTACATAATTTTTTATATATACTTTTTTTTATTTCTATCTTATCTAGTTTAGTTACTACTGATTTTATTTTTACTATTTACAATACTTTCATTTTTTAGTATACTATTACTTCTCTTTTTATCAAACTTCTTCTTTATTTAAACCAATAAATATACAAACAAATATAGATTACATACTGTATTTTACATTCTACACAGTTTCAAATCATATTTTTTACTAACTTAACTTATAATTCTTTTTATAGTTTACCTTTATCTTTTATTTTAATACTACAAATTATTACTAAAATTAATCTTTGAGCTATTTAATAGATTAAATATTAGATCTCTCTCTTATATATTATTATTCAAACCCAAATTTAGATAAGTCTTAATCACTTTTGTAGATTTAGATTGCAGATTATATGTCTGAGTCTTTATTCATTATATGTAATTTACAAATAAGCTTTTTTTTATAAAAAGTTTAATTAAATTTCAATAAAATTAAAAGCATGACCTCATCATTAATATTCAAAAAAAATAATTAACAGATTTCAATATTTAAAAAATATATTTTTTAGTTCTTTCTTTTCAATTAATATCTAATATCTTCAATATATCTATTATTAATCTTACTATATCTATTAAAAACTGATTATTTTTAGACTATTTATTTACTAATTATATTTACTAAATGTCAAGACTATTTACCTTAAATTTTCTTCAACTTTTTTATACTTAAAAATTAATTTAAAATAATTAATAATAATGTTATATAGAAATAAAGGTTTGAGTATTTTAAAATAATTAGTACAAATATAATTTAGAAATCTTTAATGTAATTTTTATTACTTAATAAAGATTCTACTTTGGCATTTCAAAAAAAAAAATTACTAAGACCTTCATATAATAAAATATAATATAATACTATATATATTATTACAAATTTTACTAAAATCTTTATTTAAGTTTAATTTAAAAACTATTTAATAACTTTTCACAATCTTTTAATTAAAAAACTTTAAAATTTTAAATCATTAAATTGAATTACTTAAGTTTACTTTTGACAAACTGATTTTATGCTCTTTTGTAAGTTTAAGTCAACATTTTTATTTGTATTTACATTAGTAAATTTTTTTTTTATTTAATTCTTAATATTAATTTGTAATTTTAAAGTATAAAAAGAATAATTAACTATTGAAACATAAATATTGTTATTTTTAAAGTAAAATTATACTTAAATAACAATGTTCTTGTCTGGTTTTGCTCACACTTGATAAGTAAACAAATAACCTTTATTAATTCTTTACAAATATGATGTACAGAACTTTTATAAACAAAAAAGTCTCAAATTATCACTTTTGTGTATATCACTTTTATGGCAAAAACTTTATTATAGTACAATAAATTAGGTAATACTGTAAGAATCATCTGATCTTTGTCAAGAATAATGCAACATGTGATTTGTAATAAATGCACAATTATCTTCACATTGGCAATAATAACAGTTATTAAAATGTTAATATTAAAAAAAGATACTATTTATAAATAAAATAAAATAAAAAATGAAAAGAAAAGACTTAGAATTGTGATCTAAAAAAAATTTTTTTGTTGCATTATTTATGATCGCCACTGTACAGTTACTATTGTTGGGTTCAGAAGATTGTGACTCGGTTACTCTAAAATTCTAAACCTTGTGTAATGTACAACAAGTAACCTTTTCGAAAGAGGATGTTAAATTTTGCTTGTGAGCAAGAAAGGCTTTCAGTTACTTTGGGTCAACGAATGCAAATAGGGTTAGTCACATGGTCACAGGTTTGAACAGCATCATTTACAGGAGTTAACAGGGTTTTGTAATGGTAATAGTGTTAGTGTTTATTAAATACTATGTGGGGTATTGGGAGTTATTATTTAATAAAGCAAACAAAGCGTACCCAGCATACTGCTCTCAAGGGCCATTTCGGCCTTTATTTATAACTCTAAATTCGTCGCTCACAAATGCGACTTTACACTTATTATTCCTTAAAACTAATTAAAACTATTTACAGTGATTTATTTAATATCTGTAAGGATATGTAATTTATCCTCATATCCTCCCCTTATTCCTTATCTACCCTTCTGGATCCGAAATACCTTTTCCGATCCTAAATGTAACTTATTGCACTTATTGCATTTCGTGCATTTTTCACGTGATCGGTCACGGTATTCGGTATCACAATTCCCGATTTCACAATAGCCACGAATATCATGGGAGCTCCTACATCGGCGAGTCTGTTGCTAATCGAAGGTCGGCCTCGTGTAACGATCGGATGAGTGCTTTATCGTCCGTAGGTAAGTACTATTCTCTTCTTCTCTTGAGTCTTTCCTTCAACCTACTTGTCTTTACTAATTCCTTTCTTCTGTGTCTTCTCTTGTATGCCTCAACCTGGGATTACACTACGTCGATTCGGGGTCGGAACTCTTCTATTACGGCGACAGCTTTTACGGTCACGTGACTTGCGGCGTACGATCTACGGCGGGTTTAGCTTATTCTTGGGGCGGACGGGTGCTGTTTAACGATGGTTACTGGGGTCTTACAAGACAATACTTGTACTTTTACTAACGCCGGGTAAGTAGTCTATGCTTTGCCATCGTAGTTACTTTATTATTCGTTTATTATTTCTACCTAAATCCTATCTAAAAATCCGCCATCACACTATATTTCGTGCAGTCATGTGCAATCACGTGTAAAAATTTCTTATAGGGAAAATATGGTTTTCCTTAATGTCAGAAATGCTCGGTATTCCATCACTAAATGAAAATTGTAGTAAATGCCCGCTGTATTTTGTATTCTTTAACCGCAAACTGTCCTTTAATTCATTTTTTACAGAAAAAAATCAACATGTTTTCTATGTTAACAAAATTGAATCAAACCAGGTAAAAAAAAGTAGAAATAAATTGATCGAAAAAAATTAGATAAAATCTTCAGAATATACACCGATGAAATATATAACGTCATTTTATTAAGTAAATAAATATACAAGTTATAATAATATAAAACTATAAATTGAATACTACTTGAAGAATTTAAGTTTCGAATATTAACTTCGTGAGATACAAGTTTATTAAAAAAATATGTGAAGTGGAATCACAGAAGACGTAAATAACCACTATCTTATCAAGTGTAATCAGGAATTACACAATTATTTAAAGATGCTCATAACAAAGGATCTTATCTGTTAAGTTAAACGTTAACGTTGATTATCATGCTTACAATTTATATGGCTCATGAATAGGTTGGTGTGTATCAGTATTGCAAATGACATAACGCTAGGAATCTGAATTTTGATCACAAAAAGAAAAAACTAGAATTGTGTCAATGTAGGAAACTGACTCATACAATATAACAAAATTAACAATATATGGCCGCCGTGATCAAGTCAACTAATTGGATATAAGATTTTGTTTATTACTATAGTTTTAATTTCTTAAATCCCAGTTTTATGTGCGGAAAAACTTTGTATTCTTTTTCTTGTAAATATGATAAATCCAAAAAGATAAATAACATGTGCGGCACAATAAATCGGATTCCTAAAAATTTTGCTTGTTCCGCAGATTTCACACATAGTTTTTAAACACTGGATAGAAGCAACGCCACTGTCTTACTATCGTTAATAAAAAAAAATTTTTTTTGATAGGCTTAACGATACCTGACGAAATTATTTTTCCAATGACAAAATGGTTTCGCCCTTGACTATTGACAAAACCCTGATGATTGGTGAACCCGATTTAACTAGTAATATAACAAGATACAATCGACTCTCTTAAAATCTTCCCTACTATATAGTCAAAATTGAAAATTCGAATTGTTGGATATGCCATTCGTCAAGTAGAATTTTTTAATGTCGATCAGTAGCTATAATAAAGTTTTTTCTTGGTATTTAAAATCATAATTTATTGAATTCATTTAATTATAAAGATTTTCAAGAAAGACTGATAACTAATAAATTAAAAAGTTCGGGATCATTTGTCGGCACTTGCATATAATGTTATTCATGCAAATTTATGCGAAAATCTGGCAATATGATATCAACACGAAATACTTCCAAAATAAATAAATTTGCAATTTTTGAACTAGTTTTAAAAGGTTCATTGATTTTTTTTTCAAATAATTACGGTAATATTATTATAATTACCATACTTTATAATTGATTATTTACAAACTGGACGGTAAAGCCACTGTACGCACAATGCTTAGAATAAAAGCAAAAAGAGAAAGTTACAGCACTCAGTATTCCCATGTTGTCCCCAACCATAGTACTGACTGGGCCATCAGTGGCTTATCTTCGGAGATCGGACGGGTTCCGGAGCTTTTCACTGTGTATGGCCGTAACTAAAAGAAAATTAAAATGGAACCTTATAAAGATTTATGAAAAAATTACGATTATTTATTATAAATGTTCTCAAGAAACTTCTCAAACATGAAAAATCATTATGAAAAAATCAAAAATCGACTAAGTATGAAGCAAAGGTAATTTTAAAAAATTTCTTTTTTTGGAGTTTTCAAACGACATCCTAAATGTGGATGCTTGTATAACAATGTCCATCATTTTTCTATATTATTCAGGAATTTGATTTACGTTTTACATTTGTTAACTTTCAAAAACAAAATGGCAATAAAACATTTGGAAAAGCTTTCAACGGATTATCTTGAACTTCTTAATGATAAAGACGATTTTAATGTAATTATTATTGCTGGAGAATCGACAAATACAAAAATATTCAAAGCACATTCAAATGTTTTAAGATATAGATCATTGTATTTTCGTGATAAACTGGCAAACACTAGCAAAGATACAAATAACATCAAAACAATTGATTTGAATCATGTTTCTATTCAACAATTCGAAATTATTATTAAGTAAGTTACTATATCTATTTCATAATATATAAAATTCTTTAAAATCTAACTATTGAAATATACAAATTAATAGATATATTTATGGAGGTGTGATTTTATTAGAAAACCAAGAAACATCATTAATTTTTGAACTCTTGCTTATTGCTTCAGAGTTTCTTTTGGAAGAATTGGCTAAATATCTTGAAACTCATCTAATTGAAACAAAAGCTAATTGGCTTCGTTTACATTTTACAAGTATTTACCAAAAATGCTTTCAAAATAATCAGTTTCAAAATTTACAAAAATGGTGTAATGATTTTTTGGTAAAGTATCCAAATAAAATTTTTGATTCTGAAGATTTTACAACACTTCAAGAAAATGCATTAGTCTCTCTTATTAAACGAAATGATTTACAAATGGAAGAAGTAAAAATTTGGAATTATTTAATTCAATGGGGGATTGCACAAAATCCAGATTTATTGTCTGGTGAACCAGAAAATTGGACTAGTGAAAACTTCCTAGCTTTAAAAAATACATTAAAGAATTGTTTACCTCATATACGTTATTTCCAAATATCTGGAGATGATATTATTGATAATATTGAACCTTATCAAACAATTTTAGAAAGGGATCTTTGGAAAGACATAATGAAAAGAGTTGCAAATCCAAATCGACAAATATCATCAATAGTTCTTCCACCTCGAATAATTTTGACACCAAAATTACCAACACGTATGACAGAACCATTTTCAACAGTTATTACTGAAGAACATGCAGCCGAAATTGCAACATGGGTTGATAAGAATACTGAAACTTATTCAGTAGCAAATAACCCTTATGAGTTTAGATTACTTTTTCGTGGAACCAGAGATGGTTTTACTTCTCAATCATTTTGGAAAATATGTGACAAACAAGTAAATACTATTGTAGTCATGAAAGTTAAGAATACTGATGAAATTCTTGGTGGTTATAATCCTATAGAATGGAATAAGCAATCGGTTGCTAAATATGTAAACTGCAACGATAGCTTTATTTTTTCTTTGAAAAATCGTACAATTCTTTCCTCTTTTTTAAGTCGTGTAAAAAATCAACCAAATGCAATTTTTAATAGTTCTAGTCATGGTCCATGTTTTGGTGATCTTTTCATGTATGATAATTCTCACCAAGATAAAGGATGTGCATATAATTTTATTGGTTATGAAATAGCAATTAGAAATGATGAAGATTGGTTTTCAGTAACAGAATACGAAGTATTCCAAATTAAAAGAAAATAAATAGACAAATTGGTTAATAAATTTAGTAAATTAATTAATGATATAAAAAAACAATATATAGTAATAGTTTATAAATACTTATATTGTTACTAAATCTTATACTTACCTGTTAATGATTAAATGTTTTGTTAATTAAAAAAATAGTAATAATTTATAAATTCTTATTTGGCAACTAAATCTTTACTTGCTAATATTTAATGCTTAATTAATTAATTACAGTGAAACCTTTATAAATGCACTTTTATAAGTGCCCACCATCTCTAAATGCTCATTCAAACTTCAGCCTAAATATATGTATATGACCTCCATATATGCTGTTTTCTGCGTGCACGTTGGTAAATTTTAGTTTCAAGAGCATGCAATTACGAAGTTTTCACTGTAATAAAAACAATAATTAATAAATTCTTATTCGATAACTACATTGTGTACTTACATTTCATAAAATATTTAATATTAAATTGGTTAAAAATAGTATAAAATTCTTATGTTACACCTAAATACCATTTTACTGGCCAATATACAGATATAGTAAAACCTCTATAAGTGCACGCCCTTGGGATTAAACTTTAACAGTATGCACTTAGAGAACTATAAGAAAAGTGTATTTATAGTAGTCATATATATATTTAAGCCTGAATTTGAATGTGCATTTAGAGAGGATGCGCACTTATAGAGAATGCACTTATGGATGTTTTACTGTATTTTAATGTTTAATTAATTAAAAAATATTAATAGTTTATAACTTATTATCTGGCATTATACGTTGGGATGTGTTGTGTACTAATGTAATCAAAACTATATGCAGTCATATAATAAAATTTATGAATGAGGATTTTATATAACTGATAGGTAATAAATTTTATTGTTATAATAACTATTACAAAATTTCAAATGGATACACATCTCTGGTGGCTTGACAATTTTGGATAAAATTTTACAGAGATCAATATTACGTCTTTATGAACAAAGACATAGAGTATCTATATTTCAATTTTTTGATCTTCAACATGTTTTTCGTTACACAAATGCTAAATGCTAAATTTATTGTTACAGATTATATATTAATGACATAATATTTTGAATTATATGCTACATACTTAGCCTGTTCGTATAACATATAAGATATGTGCAATAGTTTGTTTTATCTACTCATACCAATCCTTAAGTCCTTGCATGATCAATTTATAAAAAATTTCTCCTGAAGCTTGCTATTTAAAAAATTATTTAAGCTCAAAATATCAATATTAGTTGAGCTATTTAACATTAAGAAATTAAAGTAATAAATATCACATATTAGAGAGTAGAACTGATGAATAATTATTCGATCATTGGTCAAAGTTTTCGAGCATCAAAATAAGCTCTAATTTACAAAGTTCTTAGTTCTGTTATCATCAAGCATCAAAAGTTAAAAAAATTTAACTATTTTTTTGATTTTTTTGATAATATAAAATGTCAAATTTCTGATTTACTATAAATAACAAACTTCATAATTATTTATTTGGTAAATCTTTCAAATTTTTCAATTTGATATTACCATAATTAATAACATAGAATTTTGATTATTTATTGAATAAAGATACTGCTTTCTTTGTTCATGTAAATTGCATATTAATATTGAATACTTATATAATACTTATATAATCTGACTAATATATTTTTGATATTTAAAAATCTTTGATGAACATTCGATATTATTGCTCAACCAATACTCAAGATTCTTAAGCTTGTGACCAAACAATACTTGAAACTCATTACTTCAATCTTTATTACATATCTATATAATAAAGGCTAAATAATATGATTATTATAATGTTTTCAACCACTATAGATGTTTAATTTAATAATAGTTTATAACATGTTCACATTATATAAGTTTTTTAATCATGTTTTTCTAAGTTGCAAAGGTGCATATATTAATAAAATAGATCTTAATTTATACAAATACTAATTTATTGTTTATTAAGATATAGTGTTTAAAAAAATTTTTAATAAATATATAATCAAAAAGTATAAACTCTTTTTTCTATGCTATATAAAATTGTATAATTTTTTTTATTTACATATTATGTGATATAGTAACATATAAAATATTTTGAATTGTATATAACTACATATATAATCTGCCTATAACTGCTTCATAACTCTTTACTATTACACTTATGTAGTTCCAAATTATATTATTCTTTAAAAGGAAATTTTAATATTTTTATATGGAACCTGAATACACAAAAAAAACAAAAACAAAACTATTTAAAAAAAAACAATGTAAAATACTTTTTAATATATTAATTAAATTTACAGAAATAGTTTGTTTTATATAATATATATAAGTGACTATCTATCACTAATGTTAATATTTTCAACCAAACTTTCATGCCTATCAAATAAGTACATATTTACAAAGTTAATATTTTTTTTAAGTTTTTTTTATAAGAAAAAATATACAAGAATTTTGACTCTGCTTATAATATGCATTATAAATACTTTTCAAATTAATGTGTAATATATAATTCTCTTTATATTTGTTTTTACCTTTATTTTTAAATAGATTTGAGCACAAAGTCTAAATCTAAAATCCTTTATAAATGCAAAAACTAGCTTGAACCAGAGCAGTATGCAAGATGTATAATATTTACTAATAAAATTTCTGCTAGATCTTCTAAAAATTTTTATGAATACAAAAACTATTTAGCAAAAGAATCCTATATTCACTGTCTAAAAAATAAACTTTTGAAAAAGCTAAACAGTATCAAAGTGGCCAAAGATAAGCATATACTTACTGTCATGCAAATGAAAATACTAAGCAAGTTGAATTATGCAAAAAAAAACAAAATGAAGCCAAATAGCAAATCACTAATATAGTATATATTGAGAACTATGATATAAATGCTATAAGTTCATATAATTGTAGTAGTATAAATATTGAATGACCAGAATATAAAGCACTATATTGGGTCAAAGAGAAAATAGCTTAAACCAAACAATCTCTAATTTTTAGTATCTATTCTGTAAAAGTTAAAATTTAACTTTTTGTTATTTATATATCACTTATATTATTGTATAACCTTTTGACTGAAAAAAATACTCAAGTATATGATTTCAAAAAAAAATTTATATATACAACTCAGTACTTGCATTACATTAATAAGTACTAAAATTGATAAATATGTTACTAAAACACAAGGTATATATAATTTTTATATTTAAAAAGAATTATATCATTACATAGGTTCTTTTATGTTTAAGAATTAAGATATATTATTATTCTGTCAGATTTATTTGTATAATACAAATGAAAAACTACAACAAAGACAATAATTAATGCCAAACTTTAATTCAATCACCTTTGCATAGCTTCAAGCAATATTACATAATATTAATCTATATGTTCACATCTTTCAAAATATGGCTTATATAATAAAAAATAATTCTACTCAAGATTTAAAGATCATTATAATCAAACCATAATCAGAACTCAATATACAACTTCTATTGGCTCAAAAGTTGTAGTTCTTATAGTCAAAGATAGTCAAGACATTGAACCATCTAATTAAGATATTGTATTGCATAAGCAAAATAGTAATTTTTAATGTATTTTTAAAATTCATCAAAGTTATAACCCATTATATTAAGTTTTGTTGTTCTTACATAGTGATTCTGGATAACATTCTGATATTTTTTTAAAAGATTAAAAACAACTACTACCTTTATCTAGAAATAGATAAGGTAATAACTAAGCAATAAATAATAATTACTTATTTTTTTTACTTATTCTTATATACTACTGCTAATTATTACTTATTACACATTGATTAATACTTATTATTATTTATAAATACATCTAAATGAGCTATTTTTTTTGCTTATTATTATTTATAATTATGTAAAAAAATTTTTATATTAATAATAAGTAATTATATATTTTAATTATTATCTATCTCTATCTATAACTATCAATAAAACAGAAAGCATAAGTAAAGGTAAATCTACAAATGATAATACAATAAGAGGTCATGTTTTAATAATACAATACTATGCATATCATTTACAGTTGTAAATTCATGAATCTTCAAAAATATTTGTATTATATAAAGCTAGTTATCTTTTTTAACAGTATATTATTGATGCTTATATATATATAAAACAAAGTTAATTACTTAAGATACAATTAGAAAATGATTTATTTGAGTTGTATAGTGGACTTCAAAATATACTAATAATAATTAATGAACTACCAAGTAATCTCTAGATTGGTCATTGAATTATACTCCTATTAAGCTTTATTGAAGGTTTATAATATATAAAGCAATTGTATCAAAATGCTATAATGATTATTGAACAGTTAAACAAACCTGATTTTTTTATTATAATGATCTGCAATCCAAAATTACTATTAGGTCAAACTGCTAAAGATTACTCAGATCTTTGTAAATAGGTATTTTAGTTAAAGTTATTAGTACTACTTAAAAATATTTTGAAAAAAGAAATTTTTGAACATATATTTGAATATATCTATATTTTTAAGCTCAGATGCATGGTCTCTTATATGCTTATATGCTATTTATTTTAGTTTCAAATGATAAGCTCTGTACTACTAAAGAATATGATCATATTGTTTTAACTAAAATTTCAGATCCTAATAAGTATCTTGAAGAATATGATACTATTATCAAGTATATAATACATGAACCATATAGGCCAAGTAACATGAATGCTCTATATATACAAGCTAGGAAATATTCAAAAATGTATCCTAAAAAGTTTCAACCAATAACTTGTAAAAATAACAATAGTTATTCAATTTATTATTATTATTATAATAAATATGTAGTACAAACAAGAGGTACTATACTTGATAACTACTAAGCTGTATCATATAATCTTTATTTATACAAAAAGTATTAATATTAAATAAATATAGAAATTTGTGCTTCAATTTGTGCAGTTAAATATCTTTTAAATATGTGTATAAAGGGCATAATAAGGCTATTGTAGTTAATTAGTAGTAATAGCAACATAGATATATCTATTGTAAAAGTAATTAATTAAATTAAGCAGTATATTGATGCCTGTTATATATCAGTGTCTAAGTTATTTTGGCAAAAAATATACTACAAAATGCATAATAAAGATTTGACATTATACACTTAGTAGTTCATCTATCTGAATAGCATATTATTATTTTTTCTGATAATGACTTACTTAAAGCTATTGTATAACATGCATAAAATAAAAAAACTATATTAATAGTATGGTTTGAAGCTAACAGAAATCCAATGCTAGCTTCTTTAGCAAGTAAATACACATATGCTCAATTTTTTTAAGTATTTGTTTTTAATAAAAATACTAAAAAATAAAACTATATGTTTAAGGCAATATGATTAGTCATATGTTTTTTATATATCATAGAGCTAATGAACATTTTTACTTGTGACTATTGTTATATACTATATGTGAAGTAAAATCTTTTAAGTATCTGAAAACAGTAGATAGGTTTGTTTATACAACTTTTAAAAATGCTTGCTATGCTTTAGGTCTATTATAAGTTGATCTTAAATAGGATTATTGTTTAGAAAAAGTTACAAAAATATGATCAGAATATCAACTTTATTATTAATTTACAATTATTTTAATCAATTGCCAACCAAATAAACCAAAGCATCTGTGGGCAAAACACATTGTAACTTATCACTTACAGAATTATAATTTACAATTAACTAAATATAAGATTAAAAATAATATATTAAATAAACTAGAAAATATTCTTTTACAACAAAATAAAACATTAAAAAAGTTTTCAAATATGTCTTTGTCAGATTCTGTACATGAATTTAGGAATAAGTTAATTAATAAGAAGTTGAATTATAATATACAAACTCTTATTGAGTTTGTTGAACTGAATACCAATTATTTAAATAAGAACCAGCTAGCTATCTTTAATAAAATAATGTAAAAAATAGAACATAATAATTCAATATGTTTTTTTATAAATAGACCTACAAGAACTGTTAAAACTTTTCTTTATAACAATCTTTTAGCTAAAGTGCATTTTACCAGAAATATTGCTTTAGCAGTTGCTTCTTCTGGAATTGTTGCCTTACTACTAGATGAAAACTATATAGCATATTCACAGTTTAAAATTCCTATTGAGTTATATGAAAATTTAATATACAATATATATGTAAATACTGATTATGCTATGCTCTTAAAACAGGCAATACTTTTTATTTGGGATAAGGCTCTTATGATGCATTACTATGCATTTAAAACTGTTAACTGCTTTTTAAAAAATATTATAAGTTCTATTGATCTGCATTTTGGAAACTTATTATTAATAACAAAGTAATAACAATTTTTAGCAGATTCTTTCAGTAATTCCAAAAGATAAACATAAAGATATTAGAAATATCTGTTTTTGTTATTCATATTTATAAAAATATATTAAAGTAAGAAAGTTAACCATTAACATGTATATACATACAGTATTAACTTTAGATACTTCAAATACTACTATATAATTAGAGTTTGCAAATTGGCTAATAATGATTGAAAAAGCTAAATTGCTGAAGTTGTTCCAAATAGTAGTTATATAAATTTCTCTTTAAATATTATAATATATGATGAATCATATCAGAAACTGATCAAAAACTAATTAATTTTATATAACCTGACTTGCAAATATATATACATAATCCAATATATATAGTAGAAAAAAGTATTTTAGTATTACATAATTCTGAAGTTAATATATTCAATACTGAAATTCTTTTGCAATTTTCTAAAGAAATAAAAACTTACTATAGTATAGATGTTTTAGATCAAATCTCAGCTATATATAATTCAGTTTATAAAGATATATACTCAACTAAATATCTTAACTCATTAATGCTTAGTGGATTGCTACCTTATATATTAATATTAAAAGTAGAATTTTTTATTATATTACTTTGTAATATTAATGCAAATGAAGATTTCTTTAATGGCATACAGCTTATTTATAGGACACTACAAAATAATGTTATTGAAGCAAAACATGTTAGTGGTACATTTAAAAGAAAAAAAGTGTTTTTACTATATATCAAATTATCACTAACAAATTCATCTTTATCATTTGTTTTTAAACAATGTTAGTTCCTATATTAGTTTGTCTTTGCTATGTCTATTTACAAATTCCAAAGATAAGCAATAAATAGGCTTAAAGTTTATCTTTCTAAACCAGTATTTTTATATGGACAGTTGTATATCATATATTCACATGTAACTATATATTATAAGTTATAGATTTTTCTTGAATCAGCTAACTTAAATTTAAACAATTGTACTAAAAATATAGTATATCAAGAGATTTTTTAAAGATGTACTCATATATTAACTTGATAGAATTGAAAAGCAAAGTATCTAAACAACTTGGATATTACCTACTATCTTAAGACCTATTGATTTATTATTTAATCAATTTTTGTAATCTAGATTACAAAAATTATTATATTAATAATACATTATTATATAATATATATATATATATATGTATAATTAGAGATAAAAATGTAAGATAGTTTTAATAATGTTCTGATTAATTGTTTGAATTGAATAAGTATGTCTATGAGTATGCTAAAAAAAAAAGCATGATTTTATGCAAAATTAATTTGCATTTTATGTTTAACATTAACTTTGAAATTTTTTTTGTTCTCTTTTAATACAAGTTTAGAAAAAATGTACTAATTAGTAAAAAAAAAAAGCAATTAAAGTCTAAATTATATTTATCTTACAAATTTGTTAATTATATAATATGAATAATAGATAAGTACAAAATTTTTAATTTTACACATTATTGTTTCAAAAATTATAGTTAAAAAAAAACCTCATATATATGTATATAATATTTAATTACTTTTTTTTTATTGGTCTACAAAGTACAATAATAATGGTTTTTTTTCTATTAATTAGAACCATTACTTTAATAAATTATACTAAGTCTCTTATAATAAGTTATATTCTAATATCATATATATTTCTTTAATGCAACTCTCTATATCCTTTTGCATTATACTTTAAGCCAATAATGAATTAAATTAATATAATAAAAAGTAAATTTTAATTACCAGTAAACAACTCATTAAAAAGTTTGTACATGAAAAAAGTAGTAATTGTTACAAATATTATTTTATCTTTTACAGATACTATTAAATCTTATATATTTTACATTTATTATTAAACTAAAAATTATTTTAGATACTAATATAGCACATTGAATAATTCATATATTGTATAGATGAGTTAGAACTATTAGATTAGACTAGTTATAAATATATATATATGTTAAAATTTTCTAAGAAAGTTATATATATATATATATGCATCAACAATGTATAGTAGATAATTAACACAACTAGCTAGGTGTATACTTTAATTGTAACTCGAATATAAATTGTTCTGATTGTATATATTTTAAGAGAACAAACCTACTAATATCTTTAGATTCCTGCCTTTTAACTTCTTATTTTGATTAGTAACAGAGTGGATAACTTTATCTCTAAAGGCACGAATTTGAGAATAATCAAAGCAAAAATATTATCTTAATATATTATGACTGCATAATTTGAATGCTATTTGACCTGTGTTATGAAAAATTTGGGATTTAATCATTACCTTATCTTTGATCGTATAAAGAAAATTATCAAATATCGAAAGCCCAAAAGATGTATAAAAAGGCAGTGCGCTTCATGTTTGTAAATTATAAAAAAAAGAAAATAATAAACATGCTTGCCGCCTACATAACTTTCATGTTCACAGAATTGTACAATCAAATAAATATAATTTACCTTTTTTTTGCATCACTATGCCAACATAATTTATATTCATTGCGTAATTGATTAACATAATTTGCTTTATCGCATACGTAGCATAATTCTGTTACCCTTCTATAACATTCAATATGTTGTTATAAAATCAAGTATTTAAATCTAACCTGTCGTTTAACGACGGGTCTAACATCTAGTAATTATTAAAAAATTGATTTTAAAGTTTAAATTATATAATTTTTGTTTTTGTTAATTTTTTAATTAATTATTGATTAAAATTAAATTTTTACAGTAAATAAAAAATGTTCTTTTATAAACTAATATAATTTCATTAAGGTTGAACTTATAGTTATTAAAATATTTATACAAAAAACACAGACACTTAAATCATTTATCTAAACCCTAAAAATAAAATCAAGTATATGATCTAAAAATGATAAAACATAATCGTCCAGAACTAAGTATTAATATAGAATTATCAAGAACATAAGTTAATTAATAAGTTTTGAAGTTATAAGCCAAGTCCTTAGATGGGTAAATTTTTTTTTTCACCCCCCTGTACATATACTTGGCGTAGTTCTTTATTAACTAATCACCTAAGAGAAACAGATTGTTGGCTTATTCAAATTACATGTTTCAAAAAAAAGGAAAACATTAATACCTAGGATTCTACAATAACTTGAGTCAATAATTCAAATACTTCAAATTCATCTACGTCGAAGAAACCAGGTGAATCTCTGATTAGTCCTTGATAATATTTTTGCTTACATGACCATCCCTGCACAAAACTATCGGATATCAAAGAAAGATCTTCACCAAAGGATGGACCAACACTTTCATCATAAAAAATTGCTTTGCTTGGTTTAATAACTCGGCTAAATTTAGAATTTCCATCTTTAAATGAAAAAATAAAACTTTCTGTAGTTTTTACAAATTTACCGGATTTGAGAAATTTTCGCTTTTCCCATTCAAGAGGATTATATCCACCAAGAATTTCATCTTTTCCTTTAACCTTCAAAACCACCACTGTTTTAGATTTTCTGTTACATATTTCATAAAAATTATTGACAGTAAATCCATTCAGGGTAGCTTTAAAAATCGGTTTAAATTCATACGGAATATTAGTCACATCATATGGTTTAAAATCGATTCGTGAAGCAATTTCTGCAGCTTGTTCTATGCTTAGAATTGATTTATCGAATTGTTTACCCTTTTTATTTTTTTCAGTCTTTTCAATTACTTTAGCAATTTCATTCAATTGACTTAATGCAAACGTTGAGTCCGGTCGCTGTTCTGGTTCTTTATCCCAACACTTTTTATAAAGATCAACATATTCACTAGGTGTCTTTTCTACGGGGCTCTCCCTATTTCCTTTACATAGTATCTCATCGATAATTTCATGGTGTTTGCGTCCATCAAATGGTGGTTTGCCACTAGAAATTTCCCAAAGGATCACACCAAAGCTGTAGATATCGGATTTCTCATTACGTTCGTATGGTGAATTTTCAAAATATTCAAGACATTTGGGCTCTATGTATGCAGGCATTCCATGAAGACTTGAAATTTGTGGTTCGTTTACATTTTTTGATAATCCAAAGTCAGCGATTAATGCATTTCCTTGGTGAATCAGAATATTTTTTGGGTGCTAAGTACAATAGTATATTTGAATAAAATTGCAACGTACTTCAATATTAAAATAATTAGAACGATATTTAAAATAAGGTTCTGTATTATTTCACTGACTAGTCATTCAACCAGTATCACATAACGTGACAATCTATAATTAACATTGGAACTTATAATAAAAGAGCGTATGGGTTATCAGCTAGGAAAATCACTGTTTTGCACTTGCTTTCAAATAGTGATATTTCTAGCAAATGACTCATGTGTGTATTTAATAGTGTTTATATTTTCAATCAAGAACCAAAATTTCAACATGATTCGATTTCAGCATCACCCCGACAAATAAAATGAGTTAAAACTAATAGTATGGTAAATTTAACCTCAAGTGATGTTTGCTAAATGACTAGCCGATGAAATAAATGTCTGTTGGCGAAGTGATCTGCACTGAAAAAGAACTTACAAGATCTCTGTGAATGATGTTATGAATATGTAAAACTTTCAATCCCTGAGCTATTCCTGTTGCAATTTTTAATTTTTTAAGCCAATTTAATTTCGAAAAATTGGTAATTAAATACTCTCGCAAATTTCCGCCATCTGCAAAGTGTAAAATCATATTATAATGTCCGGTTTCATCTATTTATTGAATAATAATAAAGTCGTTACATAATATTTACTATTGGATTTTTTAACTACCAATACTTTAGAATAAGAGCATAATTTGGGTTGCCACATACCTTTAGTTATCCCATAAAAGCTAACAATATTCGGGAAATTGCTAACTTTTTGCAGATGTTGAAGCTGTATAGTAGTGAAAATTAGACTTATGAAATTTAAAACAATTCAATTACGATAATTAAAATACCTCTTTAACAAATTTTTCGATATATTTGTCTTCCAGGCTATCAACATTTTTTAGACATTTAAGAGCAACAGTTAAATTCAACTCTTTCCATCTAAATTTCGATATCCTCCCAAATGCACCCTCATTAAAACTTCGAAGGTTAATGAATTCATCGTATTCATATTTGTTAATGTATCCATCTTTAACAGCAATCCCAAGCCACTTATTTAGTTTGATTAAAGACCCACTCATAATAGTTTATTCTAATGATTCACAGTATTTATTTAGGCTCAAAAATTAATTTAATCGTGATGCCGTATTCTAAATTTAAGTTCAGTAATCGGATCATCAAACAAGGTGATTATATATTGTGTGTAGCTAACTATTACCAATCAGCAAATTCAAACTTTGTTTATCACAGATCAATTTGAAAGGGAATCCGAGAAAGATGAAATATTCCAAAATTAATGTTTAAACGACCTTGACTTACTAATTAACGAAACTATTCCTACATCTCCAAAACTAAAATCCTTAATTTGCAATTTTTCACGTCGTACTTATACAAATTTCCTTTTTTAGTTCGCAGATAAGGAAATCCCTACTCGAACGAGCACAAATTTGGCTAAAGTCGGACACATTTCTATTTTATGCTTACAAAAGACAAAATTCTAACACGTACGTACGTAATTGATGTCGGTCAACTTTTATTAAACAGACTATCTAATTATGATAAAAAAACAGAAAGTCAATATGAGTTAAGTTCATACATAATAATTAGAACAATATCATAATTTGTAAGCTTTATTAAAAGTAAAAGCCAGTTAAATGCCAGATGTTTGCAACGTATGTTGATAATTTTGTTAGTAATCCAAGTTGTATTACCGTTTCATTTTATCAATTTTTGTTTAATGATTCTAAACAGATTGCTAGTTATACGCGATTTACCTTAGAAATTATTTTTAAAAAAATTCCTAGCAATGATTCTATGTACTGTACGTACATATGTACCATAAAAATCAGGAGCCTCATGATTAACCAGTATTACCTAAAGTAGTATGGTATGAGGTACATATCGATATGTTGCGTAAATATCAAAAATTAAAAAAGCCTATGGCCTATAAATGTTGTGCCTCAGACTAACGCTTGCCTCAGATGTCGATTTTTTGGCCCGCATTAACTGATCGACATGATTGGCCTAAATTATACCCCAATCCTTCCCAAACTTTTACCCTAACTCTAATCTAACTTAGGCCGATCAACATCTGAGGCAGTCTAAAAAATTTTGCCGACTATGTGATCTTATTGAAAAATTGGTTCGCAATTAATTTAGGATTAGGGTCTCACCAGTAGGTTGATGTTTGTTTAAGGATTAGGATTATAGTAAAATTTCACGAGGAATTTTTTTGTTAGTACGCAGAAGGTACTTTCATAGGCAAAATTTTGAGCTACGAGCGGTTTGATTTTTTTGCAATTTTTTGCGTTACACGAGATCTTGAAATCTGATTGGCCAGCGAAATTTTTTTGCGTTAGTCAGACATACTTACTTGTCGGATATACTGACTTGTATAAATAGATAATTTATTTGTTTTGAAGTTATTATACGATTATTGTATATCAAGCGCAGATATTTATAAAAATATTTACACTTGACAATTATATATTTAATACGTATGTAAATATTTTATTGATAAATTTTGCAAATACCAATTTATTTCAAATACAATATGCAAATATGTATATTTTATTTTTTCATAAACTATTCAAATTTATTATCTTGTTCAATTTCATGTTTACATTCTTTGATTGTATTGGCAATTCATAATTCTCCTTTCTTTCTTTCTTTAAAAATATACATTCTTTGTATATCAATCTTTCTATTCAGGTATGTTGATTGAATATTAGATCTAAATATATTAATAAATATGTATTAAAATGCAAAAATAGCTAAAATATCACTCCTGATGGATCATTAGCACTGTTTATAAGATAAGAAACAAATATTAATTTACATATTGTTCCTAATAGGGTTTCAAAACCAAACTCTAATCTTAGCTTTTTTCATATGCATTACTACGTATAATAGTGTAGCATTTTAAAGATTTTTTTTAAAACCCTATTAAGAACAGTATGTAAATTAATATTTGTTTCTTATCTTATTAAAACAGTGCTGATAATCCATCAAGAATTGTATTTTTGCATATTAAACATATAGACAATGCCCTTGTTACAGGATATTCAACAGGTGTTAATAGATATTAATTCTTTTGTATTATATTTTCATTATTTATTTTAAATACAATTTTGAATCATAGTCATCATAAGAAGAAATTCATCTGATTGGTTAATAAATTCAATTTAATTTTACATTATTTATACAATATAGAATACTTTTTTATAGAGTTCCAATCCGGATAAATCCGTCATCCATTTATCCTTATCTGAATTTATCCAGATATCCATTTACTATTGATATCTGGATAAATCGAAAATATTCGGATAATTATCCGGATGTCAATAGTAAAACGGATATCCGAATAAATTCAGATCTAGATATCCAATAGATAAATGGATAAACCGATAATGGATAGGAACCTTACTTTTTTAAAAAACGAAATCAAATCATAATAAAGTAAAAAACACTACATAAAAGGTTTTCATTAGAGCTGTAAAACTTCATAGTCAAAAATAAGAACTAATCCTCATTTGTTTATAAAATTAGCTTAGTAATAAGTTGATTTTATTGAGTTTTAAGAAGTTATTACTATACTAACTTTTTTAAACAAATAAAACTTGGATCTTATTTTTGGCTATAGAATCATACAACTCTAATGAAGTCTTTTATACAACTTTTTTTTGGTTTTAAAAAATATTCTAAACTATATAAATAATGTAAAATCAAATAGTTAATCAGACAAACTTTTGCCTATAATAATAGTTAGCATTGGATACTTCATCTGAGGTTAGGCTTTATTAATTAGTTACTTTAATTAGAATTTTAATTATAATATAGTCAGACCCTCTATAGGCACATTCGTTATAAGCATATCATATAAAAAACCTCTTTATAAGCACATTTATTTAGAAACCAATTATATATAAACATATAAAAAAACCTCTTTATAAGAACTTCTTAGTAAAAACCTTTTTATAAGCACACAAATATTTATTCCGACTGTATATATATATTTTTTAAAACATTATAAACATTATTTACAATAGCAGTTTCATAACTTTTCAACATTTAAGATGTTCAAGAACCTTTTCATAAATATCTCAATTCCATCAATAATAATTTAAATAGTAAAATTACCTATTTTATATTTTAAAATTATATATTATCAATATCTTTATTTAATGAGAATCCTGAAATTTTCAAATATATATTTAAACAGCATATTTTACTCATTCAAAAAATTGTAAGTAAAAGAAAATTCTCAAAATATCATTATAAACATTTTATTTAATACCATATCATTCAGATAATCAATCTTTTATTTTTATATATATGTAATTTGTTGTTCTTTATTACAAACTTTTAATTTAATATCAATGTAATCAATGTTTAATCATCATAATTTTAAATTACATATTTATCGCTATATACACATAAGTATGATCGGTATAATAACTACACACAAGTATGATTGGTATAATAATTTTCCACGCACAAGTATGATCGGTATGATAGCTTTACTATACACACAAGTATGATACTCAATTGTAATCCTACTCAACTACTTTCGCACCTCATACTATACTATTTTAGGTATAAATCATGATGAACATACGAGGCTACCAAGAGAAATGAGAATTCAACCTAGATCATTACTAAAGTCCATGCATCAGATTATTCATAGTATGACTATGAATGCGTTTTTAAATTAGAAAATCAGTAACACGATTTGTCGCGTAAATCATGTGGGTAATTTTTTATTATAAAATTTGAGTGATCGACATTCATATAGGGATGGCAAGTCCGGTGTCACACTTGATATTCACCTCTTATTAGAATTCAAGGGCTGGATGACAATAGTACGAAGACTAGTATCCTTAGTGATTTGGGGATTAACAACAGCGTCGGATACACAACTTAACAAAGAGGATTTATTAGGACTAAATGTATATGAAGATACGAGTTGGTGTGTAACATTTTATTAACAAAGCCTTGAGCTACTCATGTATGAAGACACGATTACTCTATTAATATGTTGGGTGGAAGCACTAACTATTCACTTGTTCCCTTTACTCTCGATTCGGGAGGGCAATTCGAGGTTATTTATACATGTTGTTAGCTATGGATCTTCGAAGCTAACAACTATTTCTATGTACTTGAGATAATACATTAGATATATAATAACTAAGAGAGATGAAAGAGATAAATACAATATACAATAATAATAACAGAACAAGCATATAAAATATAGGGATGTAATAAATATAATAGATATTATCGTTATTGTGGCCAATAAGAGCTTGTATTACTGCCGGGTATAAATCGATGGTCTTATTCACGTGTTATTTAATGACGGGGGATCGGCTTATAAGGTCGGGTCAATACCGGTCCTGGTCCGTCCTAACCCACCTAGTAGGGATGGTAAAAAATCATTTTTCACATGTGATGATTATGATCCGAATATATTAAATTTAAACCTCAGAATATTCAGGTTATAATAATCGCATGATTTAAATCGGTGAAAAATTGATTTGAATTGTATGAAATGTATGATTGGTTAATTGTCTTCTGAGTTATGAATTGCTTATGAAACCATCATGAAACCATTTATGAAAACATGATTAAATTAAACACTTTATTTGTATTTGATTGGTTAATTGTATGCTTGCTTATTAATATTTTGATACGTATAGTGACGCTGCATATTAAATTTGAACATTCTTGTAAATAAATTAAATTTCATTAATTAAAGTGAAAAAATAATTTGAATTTAAATGTACAAGTCGAAGCTTAATAAAAATTTTGCAAATCGAGCGTAACTTTTTAGAGATGACTTCTGTGAAGAATTTTCAATTAAAAGAAATTAGAAAAAGAAGTGCAATGTCAAGGTGCGTTCTTTAGAATTGTGCATGATTTATTAATTAAGTATTCAATATGATATTTAAGGGTAGGGTGTACATAGATTATTTTTTATATGACCTAGATGGTATAATAGATTTTTATATAGTAAATTAAAATGTATTACTAATAAAGCTTTTTTATTTTTTAATTAATTTTTATCAAAATTCAATAATATATAGATTTAAATAAGTTATTTATTATGTTAAAATTTTATAAAATGGTTAATTTAAAAAAATTATATTTGCATATATCTTGAATTTTTCCTGGACGCTCTATGTTTTTCCTTGGTTACAAAAAACTATAAAAGAATTTTAATGATAAATTTTTATATCAAATCTTTAAAAATTTATATATTGATGAGTTTGGAACTAATTTTAATAAATTTACTACTGTTAGAATTACAAGAACTTATTCTACAACTTTACTTAGAAACTCAAAAATATTTAATTGGTAAAAATTGTTATAATTGAAATTACAAAAAAAATATACAATCAAGTTTATATATAATTTAAAATATTACACCCTACCCTTAATCGATTATTTTAATTTCACTAATTAAAATCTGATCATAGTAAAATTACGAATATTGTGATATAGGTTTGTTTTACTTAGTTGATTTACCACTCCAGTACGTACGTAAGCGCTGCTTTAAAATTCGATCCGAGTATTAGCATAAGACTTATGAAATCACGAGATTATCAAAAAAAATTGAGGTTTTTTTTTTATTTATTCGAATTATTCGGATGTGAATTTAATTAGTTATTGCTTTAAATTTTGAAACAGAATTACATTCAAATTCGAATGCTTAAAATATTTTTTTAAAACTTTAAATTTAAATTTAATACTATAGAAAAGTTTTTTTTTTTGCTCATTTAAAATCTTTAATGTCATCTACTATTTTTTGAATAAGTATGAAATTTGATTCAATACATTGAAGTTTTCTTTTTTTCAAAGATTATTAGACTTGTTTTGGTGTAAATATATTTTAAATATTCGAATTTGATTCAAAATTCGAAGTAATAACCAAATAAATTAGCCGAATAATTCAAATAAATAAAAAAATTTTATGCCCATATGTTGAATTTTACATTTTTTTTTAATCTTGAATAATTTTTGATTTACCAATCCATTTTGAATAGAACAACTACCAAAATGTTTGTCTCATTGAGACGAATATTTTGGTAGTTGTTCCATTTAAAACAGACTGGCAAATCAAAAATCATTCAATTCCAAAAGTTAGCCTATATGTAATACTCAGATCGAATTTTAAGCAGCGCTTACTAGGTAACTGTCCTAGAGTCACCAACCTAAAAAATTTCGTTGGCCAATCATATTTCGGGATCAGGTGTTACGCAGAAGAAACGCCAAAAATCATACCTAACATTTTACCTATGAAACCACCTTTTGCGCATTGGCAAAAAGTTTTCCTTGCGCAATTTTGGTATTAGAAAAAGTCTTCCTAACCTAAATTAATAGAAAAAACCTAACCTTAATCTAGCAGCAAAAATTTCTTGGTGAAATTTTTTTAGATTGGTAACGCTAGGACAGTTTTTAGCCAGAAAAAACTCCGAAATTGGTCAAATGATCTACAAACTTGACAAGAATTACAGAATTATAAGTAATCGATCAAAATTAGCGCCAATCAAATGTAGACAGCCGACACACTTAATAATTATATCGCATTTACAATTATTGATTAATATTTTTAGAAAATATAAAAAATATGAATATCACATTCGAATGAAGTCAAATCCGATCATATAATTTAATCTAACTGACTATTATATTACAACAGGGTGAAACCCGCGTTGTGAATTAGTAAAATCCGCTACGTAGATCACATGAGGGTGAAATTCGATTTTGCATAAGTAATTTAAAAGGCAGGCACCCTAAATTCATGGATCAAAGCCAGTCATGAAGAGTTTATTGATCTTAAATAATTTGAAAAAATATAATAAACAGATAAATTAATAATGAAATGTGCCACTAATAAAAGCTATAAAAATCACTTGAACAAGTTTGGTTTCAAGATGAAACATTTAAACCTTTAAAGAAAATTACTTACTTGCTTTTCGCAGGTGAGGAATCATATGCCAAAACCTTGTCATTACGAAAATAGTAAATGCAGTACTGCATATTTCTGCGTAAAGATAAGTTGGCGTTCCTTCAATTATAAGTCCTACTATTCGATAAAAGCACATTGCACAAAGCTGTAACACATCAAAAGTGAATAGAACTTTCTGCCAACAAATATCTCGGAGTATATTATCTCTATCTTCTTCTTGATCGAATTTATTGTTTATATTAAAGAGCTTTTTATAAAAGATGGACTCCATTATAATGTAATAAAACCGGAAGAAGGTTGCGGTTACGTCATTTATGAAATAACTTTCTGGGATGAATTTGCATTTGTCATCATAATATGTTCCCTGACAATTATTAGCTTTGTTCAGAATGCTAATGATAAGCCAAACAGTCCATTCCAAAAGGCGGAGTAGAATAATGCCGAGATGGAATGAGAAACATTTAGGTTGTCTAAATTGCTTTACGACTGTAGTACATCGTCTATATGCCAGAAACAGCAAGAGAGGCTTGATAATTAAATAACAGAAAGTTCTTACAATATCAAGTCCATAGAACCATTCAACAGACAATTTGTCTGAACATCTTGTAAAGCTTACTACACTTGAATTTTTGGAGTCCGAGATCAAAGATTCTGAGCAGTTCGAACTTGTTATTAATTGGAAAGACGTGATTATTTCATTAAGGAATAAAGCTGTATTCATAATAATTATTAATTTAAAATCTTTATTGTCAAGCTTTTTTGATATCATTAGAACAAGTGAATAAACAGTGAGAGCCACGCTTATAGCGAGAAACCATGATGAGATAATAGCGAAAGTTCTACGAATGTAAGTATTGTCCTTAGGATAATTCAAATCCATTGAATTTTTTTTATTGTTTGATGTTCAATGTTCAATTTTATGTTGAGGATTTTTAAATCGGAGTTTAAACACCTTTTGATACCAAAATTCATACAAAATAACATTCAAATGCATACAAAATGACATTCAAATTCATACAAGCTAACGTTCAAATTCATACAATCTGACATTCAATTCATACAAGCTAATATACAAATTCATACAAATTAACGGTTGTTGTTCAATCCGAAAGTCATTTACCCGACATAACATAGGGTTAGGGTAGCATTTGATTAGTTGGGGTACATATTTTTAGCAATTTGTTGACCTGTCGGGTAGTAATCGTAATCAAATTATAATAACATTTAAATTCATACAAACTGAAATTCAAATTGATATTCAAATTCTTACAAGCTAACATTCAAATTTGTACAAGCGAGAATTCAAATTAATCTATCTATCTTATTATTCGTTTCATGTGATGCGTAACGTTTAGATTACCAATATAAATAATTTTTTCAATTGTGTAACGATAATCGTACAATTCAAGAGTAGTGTTGGCACGGACATGGTTTGAACACTTGTGGACATTTTTTGGACGAATAACTAAATTAAAATTACTCAAAATTTTATTAAAGTTAATCTATTTTAATTTTCTAAATAAAAATATTCAGCACTATAAAAAATATATAATTATATATTTTTAAATTAATATATTAATTTTTAGAGCTTATATGCTGTGGACATTCTTGGGACATGGTCGAAAAAAGTCTTGGACATAGTAGACGTGACAACACTGTTCAAGAGTACGTATAAAATTCAAAAAATATTCTATTCAATTACTGCAGATTTGTAAAATTTGTAAAATTTGGCTTACCGACTATGAGTAATCTAATAAATAAGATATTGGACTTCATGTATTAAGTTATTTTATATTATTGATTAAACAATGATATGAGTGTCGCTAAGGGAAAATCAGCAATTCTAAAAATAGATTTATTATGAATTTCATATAATAAACCTATTTTTAGAATTGCGTAGCGACACTCATATACATATTAGAAAACATAACAATGCTAAATTATTTTTAATAAGTAACGATAAATTCAAATGGGTTACGATCAGGGTTGTCACTTGGGTTAGTCCAGTCCACTGGAACACGTGTTCCAGTCCAGTCCAGTCCATTGGACTGTCAG